GGTCCAATAATCCCCCCGATCCAATATATATCGATGGCTCTTCGTTGCGAGGAGATCGCGTTTTGAGCGCAAATTTGAGCCCCAAAGGTCGTCGAGCTACGAAGCTTGAGACTCCATTCTAGATGAACCCAAAATTTCGGAATTCCCAGGGGGGTTGGATACCAAGGTCCACAGACTGCTTATGATGGGGTTTGGGATATCACTCCATAGAGAGAGAGGTGGCCGAGCTCCTCAACAGTGAAAGAGGCAAGGTGGTCTTCATCCGCGGCGGCGTGGCGATCGGCAAGACCACACTGGCGGAGCATTTGGCACGCCAGTTCCGCGTCATGGTGCCCTTCATTGGGGCAGGGGAGCGGTCTGCCTCGGAGAGACAAACTGTCGAAGTCGTTGAGAAGGCGACGAGCCAGACTATCAACTCAGATGAACTGGCCTTTGCAAAAGCCTTGGAGCTGGCGGCAGACAAGAACCTGATCCTGGTTTACGACGAAGCTCACACGTTTTTTTCCTCACCAAAGCTATGCACGGCACTTTTCAAGAGCAGCGAAGCCCATCGACCAAAGGTTTTGCTTTTCTCAGCTTCAGGAGACGCTTCCACTGCACCAAAGCTGAATGTGGCTACACCCGTTGAGATCACCCAGAAGTTCATGTGGACGCCTCCTTTGAGCTACACGAAAGAGCTGGAGACTCAACTGAAGGAAGCGAGTGTGAGGCTGGACCAGAAGAGCATCGAGTTCTTCATCCAATTTTGCGGTGGACATCGTGGCATCTTCATCGCAGCAATGCACTGGGTGCAGAGTAAGCAGACAAGTGGTGAAAGCTGGGCTTTCAAGCAGACAGTGGGGTTTGTGCGGAATAGCCATGGCAATGGGGAGTGGGGTTGTGACGATGCTGAGATTTTGGGAGCTTTGAAAAAGAGCCGCGCCGTGAAAGTGAATGGACGATACAGCTCTGTTGAGAATACTCCCAAAGAGTTTGTAGAGCTCTTGTGTGGAGGGGCACGGCACATCGGACAAGACATTCGGAAGGAGCTCGCCATCAGCGGCTTCGTGCTGCCAAAATATGCCAGCGAACAAGAGTTTCAGGGGCTGAATCGGACCAATGACGACCTGCACTACAAGGTGGCGAACCATTTGCTGGCGGCGTACTACTGAAGAAAACCTGTGGGTTAGAGCTACGGTTCTGCTCCAGCAAACCCGAAAGCTGTGCAGACTTACTGATGCGAGCGTTGCCCTACCTGTTCTTCTCCAAGGTCGTTAGCTTCGAAGGAGAAACATCTGAGCTGGGGGTTGCAGACGGTCTTCCACATGAGCCACAGCATAACCAAGCCATCTTCAGTGTGTTGACGGAACTCGGCTACAAGCCCTTTGCTCCACAATCGTCGAGTGAGGGTGACGGGAAGCCAGACGTTATGGTCAACATTTCTGAGGAGACGTTTGTCATGGAGGGCACCAAGAGCACGATCAACGATCACCTTAAGCGCTTTGAGACGCTAGAAATGTACAAGAAAGCCAAGCACAAGGGCTTATACATCATCGGCAACGACAATGAGAGGATGGAGAAGACTGTGAGGGAGACTGGAGGAGGCGATGTCCAACTCATAGGCTTGGTCCCCAACATCGCCCACACCGTCTACACTGTTCACGTGAAGAGCAAGGGCATCAAATGCATCAACACCTTCAGAGTGGACTGCGACCTCGTGGCAAGGAGGTTGGTGCTCAAAAACGATGACAAGCCTGAGCTCTACAGCGTCCAATCGTTGAAGAGGGTCAACCTGTCTCCAAAAGCTCAGAGCAGACGCTGGGTGAGAAGTCTGGTAGTATGGTTTTGTTTTGTCTGTCGTTGTTCTCTGCTTCGGTGTTTCGGAAGTAGGTTCTTTTGCCTTCGCGCACATGTCATGATGTGTGCT